CGTGATAAAAAAAATCACGTTGTGATATCATCATGACTTCACCAGGAAATCCCGATTGTTGTCCGGGCTATTTGCAACCGTCAGGTTATGTAACTGTAATGTTACACATCACAATCGTTACATAACATTTTGGTTAATGTTACGTTACAGTTATGTTTCATTTTCATAACGGGAATGTAACATTGTTATGTAACAATATTACTCCTATGAGTGGGAAATAGGAACCTATTTGCAACCATCAGGTTATGTAACTGTAATGTTACACATCACAATGTTGACCGGGTAATGGAATTTTACCGTTGAGTGGAGACTTTCTTAATCAACGCTTTTACCCTATTAAAAATGCCATATAGAAACACAAAATAAAAATCTATATGGTTCTATCTGGTTCAATATAGGAATTTGAAACAGGCATTACACTATTGAACCAGATAGAATTCCTTACATGGAAAACTATATAGAAGAGTGATTTCTATATGGATTGCCATATAGGTTCAGGTTGAACCATATTGGAGCTCAGATGCCCCAATAGGGTTTTGGATATGAAAAAATTATTACCAAATAGATCCATATTTAACCATATAAGGGAATCCATATGGTTTAATATGAAATTTTCGTTTAAATATATACACATTTTAAAATGGAATATAGGGAAACCTATATGGAAAGACACATAAAACAGAAACCAGATAAATCCATATAAAAATCCCTAAGTTGTACATTTTAAAATAAAATTCCATATTAAACCATATAGATTCCAAAGTGAAAACCAGGTCGTTCCATATAGGACATATAGAACCATATAAATCCATATTAGTTTCCTTATCTGGATTAATATGGGTTCTATAGGGCATTTTTAATAGGGTAATAATGCCAAATATTTGTTATACTGTTTAAATTTAGACGACTTATTTGTTTGACGATTTTTACTGAATTGAAATGTTTACACTTTTCACGTTAATCACTACTAAAATATGTATTTATTGTATCTAATAGGTACAATTTATATTTACAGAGACTGTATGCAATTTATTTCTTCATTCAGATTTACACTGTTTATTGGAAAACCGGTAAAAACTCAACCCAGGATTTCCTCTCGAAATACACCCAACAACACAACAAATCGAGACACGGTTTTTTTTCGATATTTTTTAACATTTTCCGGCTTTATTCTCAAAAACATAAGCATTTGACACCTGATTATTAAAAGTTGTACTTTTGTTACGATGATAACAGCCGAGTGATGGCGCTACTAGCGATACTTCTTTAGCGTATAACATGAATTAAAAAACAAAATGTTCAGAAAAATAATAATGCAGTTTGATTTCAATTGACATCCGCTATTATTGCTGATGCACACCACAAGGTGTCACAAATTTCGAAAAAAAAAAACGTATTCTTACTTTTGCAACAGATGAACGGTTCGCAAGAAAACCAACATTAAAATTGTGGTCAATTTCTGGTGGCCTGTTTTTTGACAGTAAGTGTATATAATGTGGATTGTAAAATAATTTTAAAAAAATCCTTACTAAATTCATTGCCTGAATTTTGTTCATAATAGTTATACTTCTATAATTTTAATTATTCCCCAAGCCGAACAATAATGTTTTGCTCTATTTTACATATTTTCATCGACTTAGGCCAAATGTCTATTAGGTACTATATTTATCAGTCCAAAAGACTTATCAAAACAATTTTAACAATTAACAACAATTAAATATTAAAAATGATAAGTGTTTTATTTGTAGTTAATTGTTAAAATTGTTTTGATGGGAACACGAATTTTCTCCAATTCCAATTGTTTGCCCCTTCAGATTCTAGTAAGGAAAGTTTGACTGTGGTTATAAAATAATAATATTAACATTTATTCGTTTTTTAAATTATAACATTTTTACACCCGACAGTTACATAAGAAATATAAGGAATACAAATTATACACTTAAAAAAATACAATACTAAAATTCAACAAATAGATAAAATAGGTACTATGACATCCATAATCACATAAGATCAGAGCAACGAATATATTCCTTAAAATTATAAAATGCTTTCTCCAGGAGATATTTTTAAACAGTATTTTAATTTTTTTTTTTAGATTTCTTACAAAATTTAGGTGAATAGAGAAGAATTTCGTGTTCTATTCAATCTAAGCTGATACGCGATCAAGTTATATTTGTTACGTGTATTGTGATTGTGAATTTCACTGTGGGCTTTAAATTTGTTATTATTTCCTTTTGCTTACAAAAGGCATTCCAATATATAATTTGATAGAATCGTTAGAATTTTAAGATCAATAAATGTTTTTCGGACATCGCGATGCATCTTCTCTTTAATTCAACCCTGCTACTATGCGCACCGCTTTTTGTTGCAATGAAAAGGAAAGGAATAAGAATATAAAAATAATAAAAAATTTAATTTGTGCAAACCTAGCTACTTATTTAAATTTAACTTAACTGCGCACCACTCAATGTGTCGCGACCAAAAAGTTCGTTCTTTTTCAAAACGACATAACTTTTTTGTTTCTTGAACGATTTTATTTTGGTCTGTGATGTCTGCTAGCCTCATCCTCTGGCAATTCATGCTATAGATATGAAGCTCAAGGTTCTTCAAGTAAATTTTGTATAGGGTGATATGTAAAACCATCAAAAATTTTAATAACTTCATCCAAGCCCTAACTTCGAAATAAGTATTATGTCTTACCTTGCAAAGGTTTACAAATATTTTGTATTGGAATCTTAGCAAAAAAGAGTACATTTAAGGCTTTTTGGTAGACAATACACTCAGTCTTTTTAAGAACAAGAAGATAAGATGGTAAAAGATTGTTCCTTGAATAATTCTGAACAAGCGATAAGCAGCAAACTTCCATTATTTTCAGAGGGGCCTAAGCAAAGACCACTTTTTCAAAATGACATTTTGGTGAAAATTTGTGAAAACTAATCCTGAAACGATATTTACGTTCGTGACATGTTTTCTTTATAATTTTGACCTCCTGATTGTGATTCAGTTGTCAAATTTAAGTTTCAGATAAAACCAAAATCACTAAGAATCAAAATTCGAAAACAATTACCGGCTTTTAAATGTCTTAACAAAATCAGATTGCTGGCGTGTTTCTTGCATATTTATGATTAAAATGCTATTTGGGGATTCATTTTTTGGGCGAAATTACTGAAATTTGTTTGAGTGGTTAGGATAATGTTACATAACTTACATTTACATTGCGCACTAGTGATAACTTATCACTGATAAGTACCTACCTAATTGGTAATGAAGTTAAATAAAAATATTTTTGTTCATTTTGAAAAATTTTATGTGAAGATGTAATCATAATCAAAACTACAACATTCAACAGAAAAATGTAACAAACAATAAAAATAATAACTTTCAATATTTCGTTGGCCCTCCCCTAAACCGTAATAATTCGTTAACCGTTCTGGGCCTCGACCAAATTCCTTATAAATTCCTGGGGTATCCCATTCTTCCTGAATAGCATCTACCAATTCATCAAAATTTTCCATGCGCCCTTCTCTCTCTTTCATCTTTAGTTTCATCCTGCTCCACATATGCTCAATGGGATTCATATCCGGAGACAAAGGTGGCCAATTTATTCTTTTAATATGGTGGTCCCTTAAATACTCATTTACGATATTGGCGCGGATTGACGGGCATTGTCGTCCACCAACACCAATTATTGGCAATATTTTAAGCATAAGGGACCACGATATCACTAATAACCAAATCTCTGTATCTCTCAGCATTCATTTTTTCCATTCATCTTCATTTCACCGCAAACTGTCACTTCTCCACCTCCAAAAGCCACCCTTGCCTCCCGTTTCGTGCAATCTTCTGCGAACTGTTGATTTTGAGTTGTTATATAACAACGGGAATATTCCCGTAGCTGCAGCAAAGTCTGGCATTGGTATTTGAATCATTTAAAGGAAGAATAGGGGTAGGTATGTAGGTAGGTAGGTATAATTTATGCAAAAAAACTTCGAAATTTGGAAAAATACAAGCAAACTAAAAAAATCAAGAATATGCCACATAATGCGTCTTGAATGATTTTCAAGAACTAATTTTCATTTGATTCTTGATTTGATCATGATAATAACGTACTAAAGATGCAGAACACTGTTAAAAAACAGCAATCGTATTATATTAAGACATTTAACAGCCGGGAATTGTTTTCGAATCTTGATTCTTGGTGATTTTGATTTTATCTCAATCTTAAATTTGACAACTGAATCATAATCAGGAGGTCAAAATTATAAAGAAAACATGTCACGAACGTAAATATCGGTTTAGGTTTAGTTTTCGCAAATTTTCACCAAAATGTTATTTTGAAAAAGTGGTCTTTGCTTAGGCCCTCTGAACATAATGGAAGTTGTGTTGCTTGTCGCTTGTTCAGAATTATTTAAGGAACAATCTGTCATCATCTTATCTCCTTGTTCCTAAAAAGACTGAGTGAATTGCCTACAATAAACGCCATAAATGTACTCTTTTTGAAAAAAAATCATATTTTCGTTGCTAAGATTCCAAATCGAAAAATTTGAAAAACATTTCAAGGTAAGACATAATACTTATTATTATTTCAAAGTAAAAACTAGAAAAAAATTATTTTTTTGCAAACGGGGCTTGGATGAAGTTATTGAAATTTACTTGAAGAACCTTGAGCTTCATATCTATATCATAAATTGCCAGAGGATGGGGCTAGGAGACCAAAATAAAATCGTTCAAGTAACTAAAAAGTTATGTCGTTTTGAAAAAGAACGAACTTTTTGGTCGCGACACATTGAGTGGTGCACAGTTTATATAGTCTTATATAAGATACCTATTAATTTTTTTCTACATATTGGTAATGTTAAATTTAGTGCCTATCTATCTATCTACAGAAAGGTTTTATACAGTTCCATTAACTTGATGGTTATAATTGCCACATTGGCATTTTAGATTTATGTGTGCTGAGTTCCTGTGTGAATATTTTTTTAATACGAAATATTTTTTAGAACCACAAGTATCACTATGTGGAAATGGAGTCGTCGAAGAAGGAGAAGAATGTGACTGCGGCTGGGAAGAAGATTGCAGAGACCAATGCTGCTTTCCGCAAAGAAGATATCCGCCACAGGACGAACCACCTTGCAAACTAACTTCTAGAAGCGTTTGCAGTCCCTCCCAAGGTCCATGCTGTACCTCGGAATGCAAAGTTAAGTTTGGAGACAAATGCAGAGAAGACAATGGATGCAGAGATGAGAGTTTTTGCAATGGACGCGATCCACAATGTCCGCCTTCCATTAACAAACCAAACAAAACTATTTGCAACAAGGAGTTTGTTTGTTTTATGGGGGTAAGTTATCAAGTAAATTCCACGGTATAAACAAACACGGTAGGCTATTGCGCATGGTAGCCCTGTCTCTCGCTCCGAGTGACGTCATGCTGGAGGAAGTTGTTCACTCTTTCCAATGTAATTTAATGTAATTTTGGGGCACGCGTTCGTTTTTATTAAAATTACAACGGCCGATTTATTAGAACTGATTGTAATACCCTGATAGCAAAATTTGATTTTAAGAATCTTCTAAGAAGATATAACCCGGAATAATGGAATATTCTTAGAACCTTTCCTTATTGCTAAGAATGTTCTTAGGGACTTTTAAAACATTCAATAGATACCCTTTTAATGATGCAATTAGATTCTTAAAAGCTTCTTAAAACCTTCCTAAAATGCATCCTAAGGCTATTGCGCATGGTAGCCCTGTCTCTCGCTCCGAGTGACGTCATGCTGGAGGAAGTTGTTCACTCTTTCCAATGTAATTTAATGTAATTTTGGGGCACGCGTTCGTTTTTTATTAAAATTACAACGGCCGATTTATTAGAACTGATTGTAATACCCTGATAGCAAAATTTGATTTTAAGAATCTTCTAAGAAGATATAACCCGGAATAATGGAATATTCTTAGAACCTTTCCTTATTGCTAAGAATGTTCTTAGGGACTTTTAAAACATTCAATAGATACCCTTTTAATGATGCAATTAGATTCTTAAAAGCTTCTTAAAACCTTCCTAAAATGCATCCTAAGAACATTTTAAGGAACGTTTTTGGAATGTTCTTAGAAGGTTTCTTATGGAGCTTCTAGGAAGCTTTTGAGAATATTTCCAAATATGTCAGATACCCACGTTCTAATATGTTGTATTCTACATTCGTAAAATTCTTTAGGAGACAAATACGCCTCACTGTCATAATATGACAGTCAAATGTATTTGTCGCCCCCTTAAATTTTGCGACATATTAATACTAATATTAATATTAATATTTATTTAAAAATATTAAATATTCAATATAAAATTTGACCTCTAAACCATATGACATTATTTCATAAAAAGTAAAATTGGAAAATTTTGTGGGATAAGTCAGATTAGATTGAAGTTGAAGATAGTTAGGATTATTATACATAAAAATGTTAATTCAGAAATAAAATATCGGGATAAAAATTAATAAATATTTATTTTTAACATAAAATAAAATACCTATAGTAAAAGTATTTTTGTTATCGAATATTGTTTTAATTTGACAAATACCTATAAAAAATATTTTGGATTGTGTTTTTTACTTATTATTTAATACTAATTACTAATTAGGTACTTAAGTATGGGTATAAATTTATACGTAGTTTATGGTATATTTTACTATTATATAGGTAACTGAACTAAATATGCTTAACAGGAATATTCCTAAATGAACTTTCTATAGCAATTACTTTCTTAACATTCTAAGCATATTTTTAGAGTAGACTAATTTTTACCACTAAAACTTTGCACCTTCTAAGAACCTGCCTATAGGCCAGTAATAATATTCTTAGGATCATGCTATATGTCTTTTAAGCATGTTCTTTAGAAGGAATATAGCATGATCCTAAGAATATTCTCACTGTAAAGTTTAAAAAACATTCTTAGAATAAAGTGTGCTATCAGGGTGTGTTAAATGCCTAGTGATAGTAGTGTACCTACTTATATCTTAAAAAAATGTTTATATGTGTAAGGTTTAGGGACGATGGCGTAAGAATGGTTGTCACAGCGGACAAAATAAAAAAAAAATAATGACATAAACAATATCGACTTCGACCATGCCTACAAAGTTTGTAGTACAAACATCCTTTGCAAGAAAGACAAAACAATTATTATAACCGAGTAATTTTATTTATTTTTTATTACTTTTTTTGTGATAGTAAGTTATATGTATCAATACAAAAAAAATAAAGAAATAAAATTGTAGTAACAATAAATTTTTTGGCTCTTCTGTGAAAAATTAATTCTGGTTTTTACCCGGTTATCCTTCTGGGATCTAAAATTATTTTTGAATGAAAAATAAACTGTTAGGTATTTTCTAATCCAAATTTAAAAATATTAATTGGTTTTAATTGGTTGGAATGGGTTTGGCGCTATGAATTACCAATACATTCCATGTGCATTTATATTGGATTTAGCCAATAGAGACAAGCAATTCCAATAGAAGCCGCTGACTTCATTGGAACTTACCAATAGGAATGCAACTGGAATGAATTGGTGATTCATAGCGCCAAAACACATTTCAAACCAATTCAAACCAATTACTTATTTTTTATTGAATTCTATTGGTCATTAACAATAGGGATATTATGCAGTTTATCCTTTATAATTATTTTAATTATTTTTACATGAATTCACAACACAATAATGTACCTATTTTAGGCTCACATTTTTTATCACCACTTTTCATTTTGACGCTAAGGAAAAGACTAAACAGAAATAAGAAACTATAAACACGCACAAATATAATGAATAGGCTTTGTTTACAGTGGCGGCCGGTGGATTTTGGGTATACCGATATCTCAATTATTAGATATGGGACCCACACCAAATTTATATGAGTTTATAATGACATTAAATAAACAAGCTCTGAGCAAGCAGAACTTAAATTGAAGTTTGCGAAAAAAAGATAACTTTTTGCTCGGCTGTACCGGTCCCATGGCGCCCCCAATAAATATAATATAAATTTAATTGGTGCAATTTACTATACAGGGTGTTTCAATAAAAACTTCCAGGCCAATTATTTCGAAAACTAAAAGTGACATAAAATTCTGTAAACGCCAGTTTTTAGCCTCTATGATTGCCTTCACAAATGTGTAAAAAATGTTTTTGAATAATACAAGATGTAGGTGGCGCTACAATGCAAAGAATTTTTTCGATGGCAGGTACTTTTAAATTAATTTTTGATCAAATTATGTCCCATACAAATTTTTGATATATCCGACATGAACGGAAATATTTGGGGTTAAGTTTTTTTTAACGAGGATTTTAATTATAAATATTTTTAGTATGCGTATAATTATGGTGATAAAACGCTCGTGTAGCTCTAACTAGATTAAAATTATTACGTCCAGTGACGCCTCAGGATTGTGCCTCAGGAGCCCCTAAACAAATAATATTGGCAAAAAATAATACGCCACTGAGTTTCTGGTAATTTTTATATTTTTTCGGAATAAGCAACTAAAAATATACTTTTTTTGCCTGTTAAATTGTTTTCATATCTTGCTTTCGAGAAATAAAAATAAAACCATTTGGAAAACAAAAATCATTAAGAAACAAAACCATAAATTATTAATACGCTATATTTTTTGCTGTTTAAAAACAAAGGTAAAACATTAAAACATAATAAAATAAAATTAAAGGATATTTTAAATTTTATGAAAGAACTGGTAAGAAATTATACAAAATTATTAAAGAATATTAGAACAACCCAGGTAGCACACTGACGTCTGCTGACGTTTAAATGACGTTGAAATGACGTCAGAAGACGTCATTTAAACGACAGCAGACGTCAGTATGCTACCTGGGAATACAAAAACTAACTAATAAGGTCGAATAAGGTGTTCAAAATTATTGCCGTTCTTATACACACATATCAAATCGATATAATAATTCGGTTCTGCAAACTCTCAATAGTGTATTTTGATTAATAGCGGCTATAGTAACATAGATTTTGTTATACAGGTCAGCCATGTCTTCTATTGGTTCCTTGTAGGCATTTTGTAAGCCGCCCCATAAATAAAAGTCAGGGGACCTTGCTGGCCATCTAAGATCCCCATTTGTGCTGATCACTTTTCCTGGAAACGTCATTTAGATGATTCATAACGATATTGCTATTGTGTGCTGTGGCACCGTCTTGATAAAACCACATAGTATTTACGTCAATTCTCAAATTTTTTAACAGTAAAGTTAGATCGTTTTGCAGAAATTGTAAATAACGAACTGAAGTTAAATGGTCATGGTACAAATAGGGCCCGACTATGTAACCATTTACCTCACCAAACATTTACCCCAAATCTTGTTTGAAATTTAGTGTATCGTCTCCAGTTAGGATTTTCCTGGGACCAGTAGCGACAATTATGTTTATTAATTACTCCATTATTGTGAAACCGGGGTTCGTCACTCCACATAATTTGGTTTAATAAATTTGGATTTTCTTCCAAAAGAATATGAAAATGTGTCAAAAAGTTTAATCTGCGCTGGTTATCTCCTTATTGTAGATGATGCACTAGATGAACCTTGTATGGAAAAAACATATTTCCTTTTAGGACTAAAGCTACATTTTTGTCAGTCGTATCCCCCTTCCTTCTTGGAACCGTTTCCTTTTTAAAGCTACCATTTGGAGCTAAGTTACATAAAGCTACAAAAGATTTACGATCTGGCGTTGGTCTCGACAGCAGCGCACAGCTTCTGAAGCATTTTGATGTCATTCTCCATAAACTAAAACCATGTATGTTCAAGTTGTCTTGATTTGTATGGTGAACCATTTTTAATTTAGAAATGTAGAAATTGCAAATTCTTACACTGACACTAAGTGAAGAAAAATTTACTTGATGTTTTTAACATTATTGTTTTCCAGAGATAAGAAGTGAAATGGTATTTCTCGAAAACGAAGCAAGATATGAAAACAATTCAACAGACAAAAAAGGATATTTTTAGTTGCATAATCCAAAAAATATATAAAAATTACCAGACACTCAGTAGCGTATTCTGCCGTGCTTAATGAAAACGCCGTAACCAACAATTTTGCGATTTTTGCTTTACGGCATTTTCTACTAGAACAATTCATCCTGCGTCCAACCCCGGTACTCAAAAAACCGTATCTATATCTATACGGTTTTTTGAGTACCGGGGATAGACGCAGGATGAATTGTTCTAGTAGAAAATGCCGTAAATCAAAAATCGCAAAATTGTTGGTTACGGCGTTTTCATTAAGCACGGCAGTATTATGGTCTTGTTTCTTAATGATTTTTGTTTTCCAAATCGTTTTATTTTTATTTCTCA